GCTGTGTAGTCTTGCGTAGCCAGACCCATCCCCCTTTTTGACAATTTGGACATCCAAATTTTCAAAAAGGGGGATGGGTCTGGCTACGCGAGACTACAAGCAAGCTGGGAGTTGCTGGAGCCTGGGCCCTGGAGCAGCTTGCCACTTCTGCAAGCATGCAAGAGCAAGTGTAACTGCAGCTAGGAAACTAGCTGTTATGATAATCCCTTGGCCTCAAGAGCACACTTTCTAATTTATTGCATAGTATGTTTTTGATAGATGTGCATGCATGGCCACAACAAAAGCTAAGGTTTTGAAATCCATGATGCTGTTTTTAAAATGAGAGTGCAATAAGTATAAATATAGTATATAAATAAATGATAAATTTTGAGATGCTAATAGGAATTTATGAACACATTTTACCAATTTTTGGAGGGACTCCAGCCAGAGTCCATCATACTTTTCACACTTGCCTATTGTCTGTCACTTTTGATCTAGCTATATCATTTAAATATACTGGCTTAGGCTATCTAAACCTAACACCTCCCAAACAGCTTTAGGGGTGAGGCCATGCACCTTTGGTGTCTCGTATTTTTAGGTAGGAGCATGCATAGTATCACCTAGCAATCAAGTAAGGGCAATTGGATACAGTGGATACCCTAAAGATATGATACATGATGACATTTCACAGGAAGGAGATCAGAAAGGATATAGTTAGCATGCATTAACAAGTGTATTATACCCATATTTATTTGCAATAGTTATTCATGCTGAATACAAAGCAATAATTGAATTATCATCATCTGATTTGGTTAAAAATTGTAAACTATATGTCACTTCACATCCATGTCATGAGTGTGCTAAACTTATAGTTGAGTGTGGAATCAGCAAAGTAGTGTACGCTAAAGATAAAGGAGACAAACCTCCTAAATTTACTCTAGAAAATCTTATAACAAAGTTAGCAACAATTTCATAAAATGAGTAACATTAATACCTAATAGGAAGTGTGATCTTACTGAAGGCGAGTTCTATAACAAATTGTGATTTATTATTACATTAATAGAGTTTAAAGAAAGTTTATACAAGTGATTATATATACAAAAAATATTAAGCTTTAAAAGCATTTGAACTTATACTTTCTTATTATAGTTAGCAATTATGTGTGTATGTATTACTTCATTATGATTAATTTTAATATTAATAATTACATTATTTTTGTTAGATATAGTGGTGTGTTAGGATTAGGATTATTATTATTATTATTATTATTGATTATTCATTGTTATTAATTAATTGATTTTTGTACACTGCGCATGCTCATAAGTTTTTAGAGCAGAGCAGTTTTTTAGAGAAGAAGAGATAATTAATTTGACAAAATTAAAAGAACTGAAGAGCAGCATGATTAATTATTCATTATGCGTGTGATGAAGGATCAAGAAGCAGTTAATGATGAACTGAAAGATACACAGTGTTTAGGTGTTAGCTCTAACATACACACACACACTCACTGCATACTATAATATACTAATACATGCTGATATGTAACTGCTCTAGGATCAGGTGGTCATAAGATTCATTTTGAACTGTTGCCAGTAGTACAGTTATTCTGTTATTGAAAACTAGTCATTAATTGTGTGTATTATAGTGATGCAGTTGTGTTTATTTGTTATTATTTAATGTCTGTTTTAATCACATCTCCTCTCTTTTCCCCCTTTCTCTCTTTATCTCTTTTTCATGTTCCTTTCTCTCTCTCTTTCTCTCTCTCTCCTCTCCATTAGGACACTGCTGGCTCAGAGAGGTATGAGTCAATGAGTAGAATATACTACAGAGGTGCCAAGTCAGCAATTGTGTGTTTTGGTAAGTTCAATTGTTTACAAATTACATCATTATAAAATGTACATGTATATGTACTACTAACTGGATATTGTTCTGTCCATCTCTTGTGCTTAATTCTTTGCTCTCATAGACTCTTTCATTTTTTCATTGATGATTTTGTTATAGAAAGCAATGAAGCTTTTGGATTCTATTGAGGAAAAATTCAAAATCTTCCTTACTCATGTACTTTATCTTGTCCTCGTCCTTTTGTTCCTCTCACTCACACAAACTCTCTTATACCTTTTCTTTTCTCCTCTCTCTCTGTAGACCTGACTGATCCCTCAAGTTT